GGCCCACTCAAACCAAGAAATGAAGCAGAGAAATGCAGCTATCTGCTAATATGGGCAGGCCAAAAGCGCAGGGACATCTTCAACACATGGTCAGACATCACAGAGGAAGATAAAGGTAAACTTCAGACATATTATGATCGATTCGAACAACATGTCAGTCCCCWATCCAACCCAGTATTTGCAAGATACAAATTCCATAAACGGGTCCAAAAACCAGGYGAGCCAATAGAAGAATTTATTACTGACATTCAAAAGCTAGYCAAAGATTGCGAATTTAAAGAAGAAAACGAAATGCTCCGCGATAGGATCGTCATCGGCACAYGAGTAGAAAAAATAAGAGAAACTTTTCGACGAAGGCGCCAAGCTAACTCTGCAAAAAGCCATCAGCATCGCGAAATCGCACGAATCCTCAAGGAAAGAGTTGGAAACGATGGCAAGCGGAATTCAAGAAGATATTCCTGTACAAATGCACGTCGTACGCCAACAAGCAAGAAATTCCATCGGTCAAAATCCACAGAATCCAAGATGGCGTCCRAAAACACAGGAACCCCAAGCCCAGCAAGGCGTGAAACCACAGGGATCCCADGAAAACTACAGACGCGCACCACAAGAATACCAAAGCACGAAATGCTACAATTGTGGAGGARCCCATAACGGATMAGAAAGATGCCCGGCAAAAGGACAGTTTTGCCATTACTGTAACAAACTGAACCAMTTCGCACAGGTCTGCAGACAGAAAAAACAAGTAAGCCAAATTGAAAGCCACGATGAAGACCAGGACCAGTTCGACTCCCTGACATTCCTGTCCATTAAATTAGACATAAATCACATTACTGAGGACGCATTATCCAAGCAGTCGATATTTGTGACAGTCGACRTGGAACTACCCCAGCAAAAGCAGCTTCAGACGAAACTCAGAGCCAAAGTTGACACAGGGGCTCAAGGGAACAWCTTGCCAATCAGACTATATCGTCAAATGTTTCCTGAGAACATCGATAACCACACCCAATTGCCTAAAGGAGGAGTCCTCGGAAAATCAAAAACAATCTTAACAGCATACGRTGGAACAAGAATTCATCACTATGGTACTGTGAAAATTCCATGTAAATTCAAGAACAAAGAAACAAGAGCAACCTTCTACGTTACAGATGCCCCTGGAAATGCAATAATCGGCCTACCAACATGCCAGAAGCTCAACCTCATCAAATTCAACTACGGAATCAGCAAACAAGTTCAAGACCACGTCACAGACAAAAAGCCCATCACAGACAAGAAAGACCTGGTCCAGCAATTTCCAGAGTGCTTCGATGGAATCGGAAAATTCGAAGGAGAATATAAGATCATACTAGACCCCACTATACCACCAGTAGTCCATCCACCAAGAAAGGTACCACTAAGTATGAMAGRTGACATCAAAGCAGAGCTAGAAGAAATGGAAAAGAACAAAATCATCACCAAAATCAAGGAAGGAGAACCAACAGTATGGGTGAATAGTTTGGTCTACCGGCGTAAAAGCAACGGTCGACTACGAATRTGCCTAGATCCAAAAGACTTGAACAGAGCTATCTTACGAGAACACCATGTTACCCCAACATTGGAGGAGTTACTACCCAAGCTGAGCGGAGCAAAGACATTCTCCATCGTTGATGCCAAATGTGGATATTGGAACATTGTCTTAGATAAGGCGTCCAGCTATCTAACTACCTTTAATTCTCCCTTCGGGCGATACARGTTCAATAGAATGCCCTTTGGTTTGAAGATGTCACAGGATGTGTTTCAGACGAAAATCGATCAGACCTTTGAAGGATGTCCAGGTGTGGTAGGAATTGCAGATGATATCGTCGTCTTCGGAAAAACAGAAGACGACCACGACAACAACATGTAYGGAATGATCCAGCRATGCAGAGAAACAGGACTCAAACTAAACCCCGACAAATGCGTGATCAAGCAGAAGGAAATCAAATTCTACRGCATCATTTGTGGCCRARAAGGAGTCCGCCCAGAYCCAGATAAAGTCTCAGCAATTAAGCAGATGAAACCACCATGCAACAGACAAGAGTTACAAACCTTCTTAGGTCTTGCTAACTACATGGGCCCATTCATCCCAAACCTGAGCAGCCACACAGCGCCTCTGCGAGAACTCCTCAAAGAAAAGAACGAATTCAAGTGGAGCTCTTCACASCAAGCGTCTTTCGATAACGTAAAAGATAGCATCAGTGACGAGACAACCCTGACCTACTTCAACACTGCAAAAGAAACAACCTTACAGGTCGATGCGTCACTAAAAGGCATCGGGGCTGTTCTCCTCCAAGACAACAAACCTGTTGCTTTTGCCAGCAAAGCTCTTACGGACACASAATCCAGATATGCAAATATCGAACGAGAACTGTTAGCAGTTGTTTATGGCTGTGAACGATTTCACACATACATCTATGGTCGCAGCATAACCGTCCAGACAGATCATAAGCCATTGGAGAGTATCCACCTAAAACACCTAATGGCYGCTCCTCCAAGAATGCTACTCAGMCTGCAGCCCTACAACATAACCATACGATACAAACCGGGCAGAGAGATGGAGCTTGCTGACGCATTTTCCAGACTATCTCCAGAAGAGAAAGGACCAATCCCCGATCTTAATGTAGAAATTCACCAGATCATCCCRCAGTTCAGCGAGTMCTTCATAGAGAGAATTGCGAAGAACACCACCTCTGATGCTGAACTGATTGCACTCAAGGAACAGGTTTATGTCSGATGGCCCCAAAAGAAAGAACAAGTGCCACAGATAATAAGGGACTATTGGTCATATAGAGRTGAAATAGCCATCGAAGAAGGAGTCCTGCTGAAAAGTCACCGCATCATTATACCGAAAGAAATGCAAGCCGACATCCTSAGGAAACTCCATGAGCCCCATCAAGGCACAGAAAAGACTAGACTCCRCTCAAGAGCCTCCGTCTACTGGAGGGGTATGAACAAGGACATTGAGGAGGTAACAAAGTCATGTGTCACATGCCAGGAGTTACAGGACAGCCAACGGAAGGAACCATTAAACCCAGCCGAAACTCCACCTAGAGCGTGGCATACAGTTGGAACAGTATTATTCCAACTTGACGGGTCAGACTACCTCCTGATAGCTGACTACTACTCAAAGTACAATTTTGTCAGGAAGATACCAAAGGGACAAAGCACCAGTAGGACAGTAGTCTTACTCCTAAAACAGATCTTCAGCGAGCAAGGTATTCCCCCGAGTCGTGAGATCTGACAATGGGCCCCAGTACGATGGTCAATCCTTCAGAGATTTTGCAGAGGAATACGGATTTCRACATATCACAAGTTCCCCTAATTTTCCGCAAAGCAACGGATTCATAGAGTCACAAGTGAAGATCGTAAAGGCCACCCTCAAGAAAGCACAACAGGCCAAGACTGACCCGTACATGGCACTGCTTTGTCTGAGAACCACACCCATAGACAACAAATTGCCGACACCGGCTGAACTTCTCCTTGGACGACCCATACAAGACAACCTTCCAAGAAAGATCCAAAGAGATAACACGAGTGACGAAATAATCGAAAGGCTTCAACATAGACAGCAACAACAGAAACATTATTATGACAGAGGGTCCAGACCGCTTCCAGAGCTCCATGCCGGTCAACACGTCAACATTCAGGAACCTACCACCCTCAAGTGGACACCTGCTGTAGTGAAAGAAAACATTCCGAGTCTTCCTCGATCATACACGGTAACAACGTCTGAAGGAAGAGACCCGAGACGCAATCGCCACCACATAAGAGAAGCACCTCTTCCGTCCAAGCTCAAGGATAACCATTCCCAGCAGGATTCACCAAACGAGAACGTCACAACTCCTCAAGAGGGTCACAACATCACAAGGAGTGGGCGAACTGTACGACCACCAATTCGTTACGGATTCGAAGAATGTTGAACCAAAGAGGCAAGAACATTAAGAAGCAGCATTCGTGGAACATTTTAAGTTACTGTTACTGTTCATTATTATAGGAGAAAGAGGGATGTAATGATATGCATATTCAGGAGCGTTGAGCATGCGCATTAGAGGCATACAAACGAACACGTGCGAATAGATGCGAGAGTTCTGTTGTTAAGAATTACAAGGAATAAACCCAAGATAGAACCCAACAATATTGCCTCATGTCTCATAACACGTGTCCCCAAGTTTAACAGAAKAGAAATCCATATTCAATTTGGAATTGCTTCCAGACCAAACAAATAAATAAAATTTTCCTCCACCAAAGTAAGACCTTGCAATGAGACAACCATATTGCTTCCAATTTACTGCAGCTGCAGGATGCCACACTTTCCTGTTGATGAAAAGTTGGCAGGTTATGACAAGAGCAGGGAATTATTTTACCAGAGCTGTGAAAACATTCTCAGCAAAGCATTCAAAAATATAATACTGAGGTTGAAATCGATTGATATTGATTGATAAAAGGCAGTAATCCATTGGTATCGATTGGTAATTTAGTGTCATTTGARTTACAAATAAACGGTAATTTAATTCCGATCAAATAATTGACAGATAAGCGCTAGTGCTGAACAGCAGCACATTTATTAAAGAGYATATGAAACCAAAATTAACCCCCCTTTTTTATTGCGCTATTGAAAAATATGAATCATTTTCTATCGATTTAGCAAAAAAAAAAAAGAATTATAATGGGAACATTAGTTTTTAAATTGCGTTTAAAAATAGTTATTTTTAGCTTTAAATTAGACAAGAGGCTGGGAGCGAGTCACGTTCGAGTGACGTCATTAGTTGTGTATCGGTCTCACTGGAAACAAAAGTTGTTGCTTGTGGTTCATTCACGCTGTGATCTTTATACTGTAGTTACTTCATAACTTCTTGAAAATAACGTCAAGTGAATCGCAAACTTCGTCTTCATCTTCCGGGGAAGACATAGAGTCAGCAAGTTCTGAAACTAACGAGATAGAGAATGTTTTTACGCCTTATATTGACGACCCGCTTGCAGACGACRAATGGAGCGATGGCGAAGAAAATGAAGATGCAGATGGCTTAACTCCTGCCGTGTTAGAAAGGAGATACAATGGAACGGACCTTGGAGAAAATTTGTAAGTTAAAAAGATATTGAGTGGTCAATTTAGTGGCTTTTTAATGATTTATTAACAGGGTTTTGACTTTGCTCGATCGTTCTGTGATCGTCCTAAAAGTTATAAAACACAAGCTAAATCCTATGTTTTGTATTACATGCATCCTGCTGGTGTAGATTATTCACTATTTGACTTTCCTTCAGGTCTGAATGTCAAAACTGCAATACTTCATATTTGGACTCATTGGAGTATCGGTGTTGCAAGGAGGTTCAGCCTGTGCTCAACTTGCTATCCTTTGAAGGCAGAGTAGATACCGTCAGTATAACTCGACACCCTGATTTTTTAGCTATGACTAACCCCACTGTTCTTAAAAATGTTGTGCCTTTATTCAAAAACAAAGAAGGAAAACGCTATGGTCGTTTGGACGGACGTCGTTCAATACTTATAAGCTATCGTTCTTCTAAAACACCACAACATATAAATGTTCATTACATGGCTTTCATGTACCCTTGAAAATGTTGTCCACATGAAGAAAATCATTCAGTAAATAAACAGTTAGTAATTTGTTGATATGATCATAGTTTCGATTTGCACCCAAATGTTTCAATTCAAAATATACTTTTAAAAAGCATAGCATTCCTGGAGTGACATTAAGTTTTGTTCTTTTGTGTAACTTTTGTTATGTTTATCACAATAAATAGCAGTATGTATGAACATGCATTGATTAAATGCACAGTCRTTACAATAAATAAGTAATAAACAGCTTTATTCAGGCATAAATTGTGGTTTTTCCTTGTTTCATTAACATTGTAACATTATCAGAATATTATCACAACATTTGCTATTGCACTAAGTTTTTGGAGTATAAAAAATATTTATTTGGTTGATGGCAAGGGGTAAGGCAAAAGGGAAACAGTCTACACATTTGCACACCTACTTGAAAAAGGATTAATTTTCAACATGCCAGTTATGAAAACAACATCTACAGTGCTTCACGTGATATTCGACGATGTACTTTGTTATCTTGAACCATTGCCATTACCGGTATATGTAATTCTAATAAAAATTTATATRCACATTACAGTATAACACTCAACCTGACCAGATAATGTAATATTATTGCATCTTTTAGTACATTGTTTTGTTGAAGCTCACATGTTGATGGTGAGCATACTTTGCAAAGAATGTAAATCCATTATCACTGGTAACACATTAAAAGTCACACTGTAACAAAACTTGAAATGATTTATTGATTTAACTAGCTTTGTTCACATCTTTTACAGACTTCTCAGAGCAACTGCTTATAGAAGGCTTATTCGATGGATATGTGGATATTTAGGATGGCAAAACTCCAGGCCTCTTTCGGCATGTGTGTACCACCATGTCAGAACAACTATGAGGTCACATAATATCACAGGATATGTGACTTCAAGAGAAAGAAACACTAGATAATYAAATTAATTATTGTTATACTAAAATGTTCACTTTGGATGACATTTTGTTTTGGAATGGCCTTTCCTTGGCTTTTTACGAGTTGCACAATGTGGTACTTATTTCTTTGCCGAGGTTACTTTGCTGCAGGGGGAGCTAGTTGTTTTTCTCCTGGTTTTTTTGCTTTAAAAGAAAAAAAGACAATATAGAAAACAATACATAGAAAGTCAAAAAATATTTTACAGTATATTTACTATATACCTAGTTATTTATTACAAATCATGTATTGATTTTAGATTTATTTTTTATTATATTTTAGATGAAAAGATGACATCTGATAAAATTATCTGTTACAGTACCTTCAGGAGGTAAGCGATGCTTTAGCCCCATAAAAGTTTATGACTAAGTGTCCATATACAAATTATRATAAACTATCAAGAACTTTAAATTGAATTCGTGACAAAATTTCGCTRTTAAAAAAAGAATGAATTTCAACTCGTGTTTCAACTGAAATATCCCACCTTTCAAACTTGAATTTAAGGGCAAATTCAGATCATTTCATATATCAAACTAAAAAAAAACAAATAAAACAAGCAAAATGATTAAAAGTACGGTCTTTCTAATTTTCTTGTTCGTCAAAACTCTCATCATCTAACATGAAATCTACATGCCATGTAAACAAAAAAGTGAAACTGATCGGCTCGCCCTCTTAAGGCCCTGTTTACACGTCGAAACTTATRGCTGAAACTTGTGTGCAACAGCGTTACGAGACGGGTTTCAAGGGGGTGTTACACTACGCAATTTACGCTTTGTGAAACTTTGGTTGTGTGAAAGTTTCATGAAAAGTAGAACTACTTTCTACTTCTGCAACCGAAACTTGTGTCGCGAACAAGTTTCAGRACAAAATTGCGGCGTGTAACACCCCCGTGAAAGTTGTTGAGTCGTTAGATCGAATTTAGTTTCATTCTCTTTAGATTGTTTCACTGGTAAACAGCCAGGCGAAGTTTTTTCGTTTATATACTCTGTCTGTTGCGGMTGCCTATTGCTAACATTTATTTGACTTCTATAGCCTTTTTTGAAAGATGATTTC